AATACTCATTCTTCTCAAGCACACAAGTCCATCATTTTCTTACTGATTTTCTCTCTGGATTATCTAGCCATTGTTCAAAGTGGGGATGTTGAAGTCCCCTATTATTGTATTGTTATCCATCCCTCCTTTCAGATCTGTTCATATTTGCTTTATATATTTAAGTGCTCCAGTGTTGGGTGCCATTATATTTACAATTGTTACGTCCTCTTGATGAGTTGAGCTCTTTATTATTATATAATGACCTTATTAGTCTCTTGTTACAGTTTTTGAATTAAAGTCTATTTTGTATGATATGAGTATAGCTACTGCTGGTTTTGTTTTCTATTTGTATGGAATATTTTTTTTTATCCCTTCACTTTGAGCCTGTATGTGTCTTTAACTGAAGTGAGTCTGTTGTAAACAGCATATAGTTGGGTCTTATTTTTTATACTTTTAGTCAATTTCTGCCCTTTGAAGGGGGAATTTAATCCATTTACATTCAGAGTAACTTGATAAGTAAGGACTTATTTCTATCATCTTATTGTTTTCTGGCCCTTTTGTAATTCCCTTGTTTCTTTGTTTCTGTCTTGGTGTTTTCCTCTGTGAATTGATTGTTTTCCATAGTGTATGCTTTGATTCTCTTTTCTTTTTCTTTTGTGTATCTACTGTAGGTTTTTGCTTTGTGGTGACCATGAGGCTTACATAGAGCATCTTAGAGTTATAACAGTCTATTAACTTAACTTCAATGGCATACAAAAACTATCCTTTTACTCTCCTCCCCACTTTTGGTTTTTGATGTTACAGTTTACCTCTTTTTATATTGTATTCATTAACAAATTATTTTGACTAAACTTATAGCCAAATAGATTCCTTTCGAATTTTCTTTTGTGTACTTAGTATAAATTTTTGCTTTGTGATTACTATGAGGTTCACATGTATCATTCTATATATATATAAATGTTATATATATATAACATATATATATAAAAGTCTATTTTAAGTTGATAGCAACTTAAATTTGAATACTTTCAACACTCTACATTTTTAACCTCCCCCATGTTTTATGTTTTTGATGCCACATTTACATCTTTTTATTTTATGTATCCCTTAACTAATTATTGTAGTTTTAGTTAATTTTACTACTTTTGTCCCTTATACTAGCTTTATAAGTGATTAATCCATTACTTTTATAATATGTTTAACTTTTCCTATGAGATTTTTACTTTTGCATGGTTTCTTGTCACATTAATCAGTGTCATTTCTTTTCAGCTAAAAGAAGTCTCTTTAATATTTCTGGTAAGACCTGTTTAGTGGTGATGAACTCCTTTAGCTTTTGCTTATCTGGAGAACTCTTTTCTTTACCTCTGTTCTGAATAATAATCTCACCGTGGGTGAATATTCTTTCCTTAAAGTACTTTGAGAATTTCATGCTACCACTTTCTGGCTTGCAAAGTTGCTGCTAAAATATCTGTTGATAGCCTTATAGGGTTTCCCTTGCATGTAGTAAGTTCTTTTTTCTTATGCTGCACTTAGGAGTCTTTCTTTATCTTTATCTTTTGACATTTCAATTATAGTGTGTCTTGGTGTAGAGCTCTTTGGATTTATCTTTTTTGGAATTCTCTGTGCTTCCTGGACCTAAATGTCTGTTTCCTTCCTAGAGTAGAGAATCTTTCAGCCATTATTTATTCAAATAAGTTTTCTACCTCTTTTTCTCTCTCTTTTCATTCTGGGGCCTGTATAATATTTATATTATTCCATTTGATATTGTCCCATAGGTCCTTTAAGGGATTTTCACTTGTTAAAATTATTTTTTCTTTTTGTTGCTCTGTTTGGGTGAGTTCCATTGCTTTGTTTTCTATCTTGCTGATCTGTTTTTCTGCTTCTTCCAGTTTGCTGTTGCTGAACTCCTGTAATGTACTTTTCAGTGTAGTTATTGTATTTTTCAGTTCTATGACTTATGTTTGGTACTTTCTTATGTTTTGTCTCTGTTGAAGTTCTTTTTGTGCACATCCATTCTTCTGAGTTTGGTAAGCATCTTTATGAATATTATCTTGAACTCTTTATCAGGTAGATTACTTATCTTCATTTCATTAAGATCTTTTTCTGAGGTTTTGTCTTGTTCTTTCATTTGGAACATATTCCTCTACCTCCTCATTTTATCTGATTCTTTGTGTTTGTTTCTATGCATTAGATGAAACAACTACCTCCCCTGTATGAGTTTTGTTGGAGTGGTCTTATGTAGGGGATGACCCATGGGGGCCAGAAACACAATCCCCCTCTGGCCACCAGAGCCAGGTGCTCTCTGGGTTTCCCCTGTGTGGGCTGTGTGCACCCTCTGACTGTGGTGTGGCTGAGCTGTAGTGGGAGTGGTTGGGTGGGGTTCTTGCCCAGGCTGTCTGAGATATATTTTTGGCAAGGATGGGGGGTTGGGGAGGATGTGACACTTGGCTGGCTGGCTATGGCTTGGCTGTGGCATGGGGTGTGGGGTGGTGCTTGCCTGGCTGGCTGTGATGTGCTGTGATGTGGAATGAGAGCCCCACATGTGCTAGCAGGTTGGAGGGGGAGATTGCCAAAATGGCACTCACCAGCACCAGCATTGGTAAGGTAGAATGAAATTGCAAAAATTATACCTGCCAGTGCTTCTGTCTTTAGAGAAAGCCCTAACAAGTTCCTTCCTTTTTGGCATTTGCTTTAGGGTTAGTGTGTCTCCTTCACATATCATCCAGGCACTTTTAATACCATAAAATCCACTACTGGGTATTTACTCAAAGAAAATGAAAACACTAATTCAAAAAGATATATGCACCCCCGTGTTTATAGAAGCATTATTTCCAATAGCCAAGATATGGAGGCAACCTAAGTGTCCATCAAAAGATGAATAAAAAGATGTGGTGTATATATATATATGCTGTGGAATATTATTCAGCCATAAAAAGAGTGAGATCTTGCCATTTGCAACAACATGGTTGGACCTAAAGGGTATTATGCTAAGTGAAGTAAGTCAGACAGAGAAAGACAAATACCATGTGATTTCACTTTATGTGGAATCTAAATGGACACATACACACACGTGCAAATGAATAAATAAACAACAACAAAAAAAAAACAGAAACAGACCCATAAATACAGAGAACAAACTGGTAGCTATCAGAGGGGAGGATGGTAGGGCTATGGGTGGTTATCAGAGAGAAGGAAGGCTTCCAGCTATGGAATGAATAAGTCATAAGGATGAAAGGTACAGTATAGGGAATATAGTTAATGATATTTTAATAGCATTGTATGGTGACATATGGTAGCTACACTTGTGAACAAAGCATAATGTATAGAGTTGTAGAATCACTATGTTTTACACCTAAAACTAACATAATATTGTTTGTTAACTATACTTCAATTAAAAAAAAGATCAAAAACTCTCTCCGAAACAAACGAACAAACATATTGCTGCTTTTGCACTGGGTCCTAGGGCAAGAGTCTGTAAGTGAGTCCTTTAAGGGCAGGTTCTCCATTCCCTACAGTTCTGGACATAATCCCTGATGGTTTTATGTTTTAGGGGCTGGTCTCTCAGGTGCCAGACCCAAGGGTTGGGGTGCCTAATGTGGGGCACAAACTCCTTGCTCCTCAGGGAAGAGTTCCATGTTTTTGAGATTTCATTCTGATTGTGGATTGCAACTCTTTGGGTGGGGTTTTTGGTGAGAGCATATCTCTGCCTCTCCTACCAAAATCAGTGTGGCTCTTTTATTTTTTGTTGTGGAGATGCTGTTCATCTAGTTTTTAAGATTTTTTTCAGAGGAAATTATTCCATATGTAGCTGTAGATTTGTTGTGTCAGTAGGAGGAGGTGTGTTCAGTATCTTCCTATGTCGACATCTTAGACCCAACACCGGGAGATTTCTTAAAGGGTCTACCTAACAGAAAATAAAACAATTCAACAGCTGAAGGAGTATTTTAGAAACCCAGCCTGAAATACTATAGGCAGAACACGATCAACCTGTATCCTCTATGGGGGTATTTTAAAAGTACCATGTCTGGGTCCTACCCACAAGCAATTAAGTTAGGATCTCTGGGGTGTAAGGCTTAGACATTGGTGTTTTTAAAAAGCTTCCATGTGGTTTTAATGCTATTAAGGTAAAGAATGATTGTTCTTTTCTATTTTCCTTTTTCAGTTTTCACCCAGGAAATATTTTATGAATTTCTTCTTTACATATGGCACTTTTTATTTTTTGTTACTTATAACTCAACATAGATTGAAGTATATAAACTCTCACCAAATTCCATGGCCATTTTACCTATTAGGATCACCACTAAACTTTTTTGTGTAGACTTGTCTTCATATGATTAAATAATTAGCATGTTCAAGGATTGTGTTTCTACTTTTCTATTCCTGAAGTTAAATTTTAAGGTAGGATTAGTACTATATTACTATATTAGTAAAAAGTCACTAGAAAGAGAAAATTGTACTTTGTAAGTGTGATGCCATTTCATAGATGTTGCTATTCCTTTGAGGTAGCCAGACCACATTTTGATGTGGTGACATTTCTTACCAAAAGGAAAAACCTTAAGTACTTAAATACCTTTCAGAATGATTAATAAAATTGCTAATTGTTCTTTCCTGCTGGGGCAATGTGCTTAGGTCTTTGACATCAAATTATAGATATTAGTAATTATGTATTTAGAGTATTTAAGCTAATAAGACAGAATAAGGGACTGTCTAAAACAAGGTAAGTTTTTTCCCCACAAAGAATCTTTTGAATATATTATCTCATCTCTCCCCAATTTACAGATGTGATTCAAGAGGTACATGACTTTTCTCTAGATTTTTAATCTAGTATATGGGTTGAATAGGGATTTGATGAGAGCTCTGTTTGATTCTAGAGCCCATGTTCCCACCCTCCTCCCCACCAATATTACATTGTCTCTGTGTCCCTAGAAAATCCAGGAATGTGTATACATAGGTGATATTTGAAATCATTTTTTATGTGTTTCTTTTATGTATGATATGATTTAGCCTTTTTTTCCCCCTAGGATAATACCGTTCAAGCTGAATGGCCCTCAGCAGATGAATCTACCACCAGCAGTATTTCACCACTTGATTTCAGCTCTGGTCCTCCCTCAACCACTGGCAGGGAACTCTGGTCAGAAAGCCCTCTGGGTGATTTAGTGTCTACAGTCAAATTAGCCTTCCCCTCAAAGGTGGGCCTCAGTTCTTCCCCAGAGGTTTTAGACGTTAGCAGCTTGACTCTTCATTCTGTCACCCCAGCAGTGCTTCAGACTGGCCTGCCTGTGGTTTCTAAGGAAAAGACTTCTGGATCTCACATACTAGAAGATGGTAAGGGATTCTAATTACTTTTCATACTTTTTTACTTTATTGTGTCAGATGACAGGGTTTTGAAGAGAGAAAGAGACTAGGGTTAATAGAAAAGCATGGTAGCATCTATTAGGAGGAAATGTCTTGAGAAAGCCATGTGAGAGAGGGAATGGTCAGATTTAATTGGTTGGAATGGAGATTCCAAATAGGTAAATAATAAGAAATGAACTTGGTGGGCTGGGATGGGGATCAATTAATAGATATTTTGAACATCCTATTAAAGAATACATAATTAAATTACTATTGAAGAACTACTTTATTTACTTGAATATTATAGTGATAAACAACATCAAAGAAGATTATTATAGTAGCTTTTAATAGGATTGATTGTGGGGGCCAAGTATAGAGATTTTAGCTTGCGTTAGGCTTGAGAAAGGGAGAACTGAACTAGGGTAACTACAGCAGAGATTAAGAAATGAAAATCAAGTAGATGATTTAGATGTTGTGGAGGAAAGGAAAAGTCAATGTGACTTATGAATGGAGTATATAATGAAAGAGGAAGTTGAACAAAGATATAAATAATGAGTCCAAGATTTTAAACATTGGGTGAATTTGGAGGATGATGGGCAATAAACATAATTAGGAAATGGGAATTAAAAGACAAAATTTCCTCCCTTAGTTTCCACTAGATTCAGTCTTTGTTGTCAATATGGTTACCAACAGTTCTTTATTTCCATGGAATAAAAAAATCAACTGTTTGAAGATGAATTAGTTCAATAGCTGAGATCTTATTATCCTCAGGGAAGAGGGGTATATTCATGAGTGGTTGTACCATATCACAAAAACATAATGAGTTCTTGCTTGCTAATTTATCAGAGTAAAAATCAGCAACTGTATCTCCTAACTTAATGAGAAAAAACATAAGTAGCTGGCTTTATTAGGAGGACTAGGAATACATTTTGACAACTCTGTAGATTAATTAATGGAAAACTTTATTTTTAGGATTAATCAAAGTTGAAGGGTCAGAAGATTTTCTTTCTGTTCATCAATTGCCTTCAAGTCCATTCACTCACCCGGTGCCAAAGGAAACAATACCATCTGTGGAAGACTCTGGAGTGTCTTTGACATCCTCACCATATCTGACCTCATCTGTCACTGTAGATCTTCTTGCTAAAGAAGTAACTATACCTTCTGGCTTGGACTCTTTGGCCTCCAAAGTCAAAGACCAATTAGAAGTGAACACTTTGATGCCAGACACATCCATAGAAAAAGAGTTTATATATGAGAGTGGTTTAGGTTCAGGGTCTGGGCAAAAGGTAGATCAGATTACTTGGCCATGGAGTGAGACTTCATTAGAGAAGAGTTCTGAACCACTGTCTAAGTCATGGCTTGAAGATCAGGAGTCGCTTTCGCCAACTGAGGGTATAGATGAGAAATTAGTTATAGATGACAAAATAGATTCTACAGGGCAAAGTATTGACTATTTAAAGTATGGGCATTTTGATAGATCCACAAAGTTTCTAGAGGAAGAGCTCATTGGTGGACCTACTATGCCCATCTTTGCAGAGACCACAACTCAATCTGCATCTCTAATTCTTTCCAAGGAAATATCAGAGGTACCTGACATAGATTATTACTCAGTTACTAATGCACCTCTTCTACTGACATCTATAGCAATCTCTGCTTCTACTGATAAACCAGAACTACCATTTCTAAAGGAGGATATGGAACAAACTACAGAGTCATCCAACCACGAATGGTTTGACAACGAGGTTTCAGTAATGAAGCCAGATATGCAACATTTGGGGACCATATTGCCAGAATCAGAGGTATTTTGGGCAGGAACTTCTTCCCTAGGGAAATTGTCTAGAGACACACTGGCAAGTACACCACAGAGTACTGACAAGCTCTGGTTGAAATCTTCCATGACACAGTCTACCAAATTGTCTCCAACCACAAGCTCCACCCTGCTAGAGGATGAAGTAATTATGGGTGTTCAGGATATTTCATTAGAACTGGACTGGATAGGCACAGATTTCAATCAGCCTGAGCTAATCCCGGAGGAAAATGGCAAGGTTGGTAGTTATGTGGAAATGTCTACAAATGTTCACTCCACAGAGAGGGCTATTGTGGTGCAGCCCACGGAAGGAGGTGACTTGAGTCATACCCAGACTGCAGGAGCTTTGTTGGTTTTCTTCAGCCTCCGAGTGACAAACATGCTGTTTTCAGAAGATCTGTTTAATAAAAACTCTTTGGAATATAAAGCACTGGAGCAAAGATTTTTGGAACTGGTAAGCACTAGAAGTGAAACATGGGCATTAGTGAATAATCATGTATGAACTAACCCTCTTTCCCCTAAACACGTAAGATCTGAGCCAATGAAAATGTGGTCTGTTGTGGACATTTCATTTACAGATAGTGTCATGGCCTAGCTTTGGTAGGAAAACAATAAGACAGATAGATACAAGAAATGGAAAACACAAATATGGCATGAGGGTGATGTACTAACTTAGATACTGAAGATTGTATTCCATCAGTTATGGGACTGAAACAAGTTTAAAATTTCTTTTCACATGTTACTGTGAGACCAGTGTTTTGGTAGGTACTTATGCTACCTTCACTGTTGTGATTCTTTAGTGAAACAGAGAGAATAAACTCCCTGGCTATCTAAAACTGTCTGAGTTCCATGGGTTCCTAAATATTACCATGAAAATCTCTTGACTCTCAAATAATTCAAAATTTATACTTTTATTGATGAACAGTTTAAATAATGTAAATAGAATACAGTTTGGAAAAATGGGGGAGGGGCTCATCCTTGGTTTTTTTGGGTGGGGGTTGGTATATTTTGAACAAAATGCAAAACCTTGTAAATAAACTGACTACTTTTCATTATTGTAGCTGGTTCCCTACCTCCAGTCAAATCTCACAGGATTCCAGAATTTAGAAATCCTGAACTTTAGAAATGGCAGTATTGTGGTAAACAGCCGAATGAAGTTCGTGAAGTCTGTCCCTCCTAATGTCAACAATGCTGTATACATGATTCTGGAAGACTTTTGCACCACTGCCTACCAGACCATGAACTTGGCTATTGATAAATACTCCCTTGATGTGGAATCAGGTAATGGTATTGAATACTATGATGGTTTCTTAGTGGAATCCAGTGAATATTCTTGTGTATTTTCTTCTATACTGAGTCAAGGTGAATTAATTACTTGAAGGAAAAAGGGTACTATGTCAGGCAAAATCTCCACATCTTGCTAATTATTAAATGATCTCTTCATAGGACACCAATATCATTCTCTTTTTAAAAGGGTTGTTCACACGCATTATCTTGCACCTCCCATTCCCTTTTCTACCTATTCCGTCTAGCTCTAGCTCTCTCTTTTACTTATCCATTGGATCTGCTCTGGCTGCATCTCTTAAGTTGCCAAGTCCAAATGATTTTGGACTCTCTTTCTTTCTATATTATTTTCCGAATCTGTTTTACCCATTTCCATTATTGTAAGTCTTATGTAAATGTCAGTAATTCTCCACATTTTTTATATGCAGATCTTCTGAGCTCCAGAATCAAAATCTAACTATGTATTTGATTATCTCAATTTGGATGTATCCTATGTATATCAAACTTAAGATATCTAAGAATGAGCTCTTGTTTTCCATATCTCCCCCTCTTTTAACTAAATCTAATCCTTCTGTTAGCTTCACCATCTTGAGAAATTAAAGCCATGTCCACTCAGCTACTTAAGTCAGAAACCTGGGAAGTCCATTCTGATACCTGTTTCCATTACCCCCAAACTTATGTTGATTCTGAATATTCAAAATATATCTCAAATCTGTGTACTTCTCTTTCTCCACTGCTGCTAGTCTAGGCCAAGCATTCATCACCCCTCATTTGAACCAGTTTCCCTACTACCTCTCCCTTACCCCTCTCCCAGACAGCAGCCAGGGTGCTCTGCCTAAAACATCAGATTATTTCACTTTCCTGCTTGAAATACTTCAGTTGGCTTCCTGGTTCAACAGTCACAAGGTCTGGTCCCTATTTCCCCCCCAGTGTCATCCAATGAAACTAACTTCTTTGCTCATCATATTGTAGTCAGATTAGCTTGTTTTTACTTCCTCAGATTCAAGAAACTTTTCTTGCCTTAAAGCCTTTGTGCAAAGTATCTTTAATCTCCAGAGTAGCAAGGAAATCAGTGATTCTCAAAACCATATTAGATTCTCTGGAAAGAGACTATTTTTTTTTTTTTAACTCCCCTTAGCCTTTTGGCTGAACATCATGCTTTTTCATCTAGATGAGTCTGTGGATTATTTCCACCTATTTCATCTGTCTTTCATATCTATGTCATCATTTGCCATTCACAGATTGCCATTCGCCAGTGAACAACATATAGTGGAACCAAGTGGGATGAAAGACCCATCATGGTCAATGTCTTACATCATTTTTGACTGGTTATTATCCTAATTATTTAAAATTTTTATTTTTTTCTTACCTAAACAAAGAAAAATAAAGTTACTGAAGTCAAAATATTATTAGGAATAGCCTGAGGAGGTACAGGGCTGATTTATTTTTCTAACATTGCCTTCCACAAATCTCACATGTTCTTAGCTGCTCTGATTGGGTTATACCCACTCCTGAGGCTCCTATCAGTTCTCTGGGCTCTGTCTCCTATTTGTTCTCACTGTGGGATAAGGCATTTACCTTCATGTATAGAACAGAGGTAGCCTATAGTAGGTTAGGGTTGGTACAAATGAATAGTACATGAAAACTGTGTTGAATTTAGATTGACGATTATATGGCATGGGTTTTAAAGTGTCTAAATGCTCCCTAAATGAAAAAGCTTACCCAGGTCATTGGGTTTTATGCTTTGGTTCTGAGTTTCAGAGAGATTTGACAAAAGCTCTTCAATCCAAGTGGTGATGGTGTATTTTATGGTTCAGGAAGGGGGCTGTCCCTTGGTACTTTGAAGGTGGGGGAAGTGTTTCTGGAGGGGCTTCATGCACCCCAATTCCTATGTTTTGCCTTTTCTTGTATGATTCTCTAGGTTTTTGTTTTGTTTTGTTTTGTTTTTATATTTTAGGTGATCAAGCCAACCCTTGCAAGTTTCAGGCATGCAATGAATTTTCTGAGTGTTTAGTCAACCCTTGGAGTGGAGAAGCAGAGTGCAGATGCTACCCTGGGTACTTGAGTGTGGAAGAACTACCCTGTCAGAGTCTCTGTGACCTACAGCCTGACTTCTGCTTGAATGATGGAAAGTGTGACATTATGCCTGGACATGGGGCCATTTGTAGGTATGTTGTAGTTAGAGATTTTGGTTTCCCAATGTTATAAATACTTCCTCGGAAGAAGATGGGTCTACACCTATGACTTTAGGATAATCACAGAAAAATTTATTATAGAAGTTATATCTAGGCAATAGATGGATGCCATCTAGTTCTCATGTGAAGACTGGGTCAATTAATAGAGCTGAATTATATCCAGTTCAATTGGTTATTTTATTTTATACTTTCAAGATGCTGTAAGAAAAACATTATTTAAATGTGTCTTAATTAGAGTAGGTGGAGATCTTTGTGTTGGTTCTTAGTGGTGATGATAAGGCAGTTGGTGCTCAAATTAGGTTTAGGCTAAGAGTAATACTTCACACTGAAACTTTGTTGTCTACTTGGATATGTTCTTAATGCCTGTGGCTTTCCCTTGGTCCTACTGAGTGTTCGAAAATAAAGAAAAGCAAGTATTTAAAGTCTTTGAAATTGTGACAAATATATTTTAAGTACCTAAGATCCATTTTTTAACAAGGCAGAACCAAAGAAACTCCATTAGACAGATGAGCGGATTCAGGTAGCCTAACCATTTTCGCCTGCTCATTTTCCTTGAACAAAACAGATCAACTTCTGAACCACACAATAACTAGTCACGTGGGTGTAAAAGGAGAGAATGCTGACACTAAGCAGAGAAAAATGAATAAGAGGATGGTTTATGAATGTCAAGATGGGCAAATGTTATAGATGCCAGACACAGAGGATATAGGGGGGAATGATCCAGACTCTTCTGTATGAAAAAGTATAAAGTTTAGCTAGAAAACTCAGAAGAAAAATAGTCTTTTGATTTTCAGAGAAATTAATATTATTTTGAAAAGCAGTCATTTCCTTGCTGCTGTTGGAATTGAAGACACTTTTACACAAGTCTGGAGCCTGGGGGGTAGGGAACATCTATGCAGTGTGGTGAAAGGACACTAGGAGTCTGGAGACCTGGGTTCTAGACCCAGATCTGTTGCTGACTAATTGTGTGATCTCAGTCAATTTCCTTCCTAGGTCTGTTTTTTTGTTAATTATAAATAAGGAAGTTAAATAGAACACTTTAAGTCTAGTCAGTCTTTTATGTAGTCATTTACAAATAGTCAGGGAGGACCTACTGGGTCTGTACCAGGCACTAATCACAACCTTAAATTGTGTGATCATTGAACCTGTTAGGTTCACTTCTTTTTTTTTAAATTTTTAATTCTTTTTTTAAAGATTTTATTTATTTGACAGAGAGAGAGATCACAAGTAGGCAGAGGGAGAGGGAGAAGCAGGTTCCCCGCTGAGCAGAGAGCCTGATGCGGGACTTGATCCCAGGACCCTGGGATCATGATCTGAGCTGAAGGCAGACACTTAACTGAGCCACCCAGGCGCCCCTCTATGTTCACTTCTTTACTGAAGCTTCACTTGGTCAGCATGTATTATGCTACCTTTCCCCAGTCCCGCTGAATGTTCTGCCACTGTTGTTTTCAACACAGTGATTCTGTTTTTAGACTTTGTCACTTCTCATTACAGATGCCGGGTGGGTGAGAACTGGTGGTACCGAGGTGAACACTGTGAGGAGTTTGTGTCTGAGCCCTTGGTCATAGGCATCACCATTGTCTCCGTGGTTGGACTTGTCCTCATCTCTTCGGCTCTTGTCTTCTTCCTTGTCAGGACTCTTCAGGCTCATTATGTTAGGAGAGAAACAGAGAGGCCCATCAGGTAAATAAGAAAAATTGCTCTCTAATGGAATAAAATGTTCCTTTTACTCATTTATTTTGTACTTATTATATGCAAAATATTGGATAAGGATCTGGGTGGAGGAGAGCTATAAAGTTGAATAAAAACATGGTCCCTGTCCTTAAAGGATGTCAGATTGGAAACAAACATAAGCAGCAGTCTGAATAAGATGAGTGGTAAATTTGTTTTGCTTGGGAAGAGAGTCTTAGAAGTTTTTTTTTTTTTTTAAGATTTTATTTATTTATTCATGAGAGAGAGAGAGAGAGAGAGAGAGAGAGAAGCAGAGGGAGAAGCAGGCTCCCAAGGAGCAGGGAGCCCGATGCGGGACTCCATCCCAGGACTCTGGGATCATGACCTGAGCCGAAGGCAGACACCCAACCGTCTGAGCCACCCAGGCGCCCCAAGAGTCTTAGAAGTTTTAATGATGGTTATAATATTTAGCTGGACACAAGAGTATATGTTTGCTCTGGGGGTGGCTAATTGAATGAGCATGAGCAAAGTCAGGGAGGCATCCATGAATCTCAATGGGCACACTGAAGGAATGGCATCGTTGAATGTGGCCAAAATGCTTGTTTTGTGATGGGGAATGGTTAGAAGTGTGATGGACATGAGGTGAGGCCCTTGTGTAAGGACCAGATCTGTTAATTTGTCCCTTTTGGCTCATTCCAGTGGTAATTAGCCAGATTTCAATTTATTTATTTATTTATTTATTTATTAAAAAGATTTATTTATTTATTTGAGAGAGAGCGTGAGTGCACGCGTGTGTGACTGGGTAGAGGAGAAGAGGGAGAGAATCCTTAAACAGACTCCCCGCTGAGCACAGAGACCGCTATGGGGCTCCATCTCACCACCCATGAGATCATGGCCTGAGCTGAAACCAAGGGTCAGAGACTCAAATGACTGAGCCATCCAGGTGCCCTGTAATTAGCCAGATTTTAAATCTGGGTAAGAATCTCACAAGAACTGAAATCTGGTTCTCTGTTTAGTAGCTTCATTAATGGGGGAAATAAAACCTGCTCAACTTAGTAGGCTAGGGATTCAAAGACTTTTTAGTTATTATGGTTTGTGATCCCTGTTTGTACTCTGCTTCTGTGCTTCTAGAGTCTATAAGAGCTATGCTTCGGGTTCAGGTTACCTGCCCTCACCCTCTGGCGTGGCTAAGGAGTCACCTCTCCTAGGTCCTAGAGCACTCAGGACATACTTTCATCATTGTTCTTACACTTTTTATTGACTCTGACTTTGCATTAGAGTGTAATCTCATTCAGGGTTCCAACAAACTCTTTGTGTCATCAGCATCGAGGATAATCCTAGGCATGTAATCAATGCTCAGTAAATATTTGTAGATCTGAATTGAATTTCACCAAGGTCTCCCTATATATTTTCTATCAGATTCTCTGTGTGGTTACACGGTTACTTACTGATTTTGATTTGCATACTCTGGGAATGATAGAGCCATATTCATTTAATGAAATACTATCTATTGACAGACATATTTCCCCACCAACATTTATTGATAATCATTGTGGGGCAAATAAAGATGAATGAGACATGAAACAGTAATTCCATAGTGTACTTGCCATGTAGTTGGGGAGATGATCATGATAACACCTGATCTGGATTTTTCACAGTCACCTTCTCACATTTGTATCCAGTCCACCTCTTTTTCTTGCCCAACAGAAATCTTGCTGCAGATAAACAGTCTTCTAAGTAGTTGAGCATCTGAAGAACCTGAACCAATCATACTTTTTTTTTTTTTTGTGACTCCAGCAGGCAGCCCGACAGCCTTTCATCCATTGAAAATGCTATTAAATACAATCCTATGTATGAAAGCCATGTGGCCGGACCCAAGCAGCATGAGAAACCCTATCCTCAGCACCCCTTCTCCAGTTCTGCAGGTGGAGAGATGATTGGTGGTCTGAGCAGGGAAGAAATCAGGCAAATGTATGAGAACAGTGAGCTTTCCAGTGAGGTAGGAGACTTTGCTTTTTTTGTTGCTGCTCTGCTGCTGCTAGGGTGTGTGTGTGTGTACGCGTGTGCACGCGTGCATGTGTGTGCGCACTCGTGTGTGTGCATGCGTGTGCGTGTGCATGCACACATGCATGCACGTGCATGTACATGGGCTTCAAGAAAGGATGAAAAATATTTCATTATCAGTTTTTTTTCCTCATGATATCTCCCAGGCAATGTGGTACGCAGAAGGTACATAATTCTGAGCTGTACCTCATTTTCCACCTAGTGGTTTCTTTTTCCATTATTAGCAAATGCTTTCTCTCTCCTCCCTCCCTTCCTTAGGAATATATGTCTGGGTTTTTCAGAGTGATTCCTGCAATATCCAAACCTCCCATTTCTCTGAAAAGGCCATTCTTTCCTATAGCTCTCCCCTGAATAGCCCAGAGGTTTTTCTAATACAACGTATGGTCTCTTTTTCCTTTCTAAGGAAATTCAAGAAAGAATGAGAATATTGGAACTGTATGCCAGTGATCCTGAATTTGTAGCTTTTGTGAGAGAACATCAAATGTAAGCTTCTGCTACAGCCTCCTCCTCAGGTTCCTAACAGGGTGCCTTAGAGTAGAGGCACTAGCGTGAGTACATAATTCCCGTCCACATGACATGGGTTCTGGTGATAACCAATGTTTGTTGAGTTCTTTACAGTTCATATGCTTCCACACAGATTACTTCATTTATTCTTCATAATGGCTTTTTAAGTTGAATGTTTTGTATTTAAATTTTAAAAAAGATTTTATTGGTTTATTTGAGAGAGAGGGGGAGGCAGGGAGGGAGGGAGAGAGCGCACATGAGATGGGGGAGGAGCAGACGGAGAAGCAGACTCCTCGCTCAGCAGGGAACCCAATATGGGGCTCAATCCCAGGACCCCGGGATCATGACCTGAGCTGAAGGCAGATGCTTAACCGACTAAGCCACCCAGGCGCCCCTGTATATTTTATAAATGAGGAGAGGAAACCTTGGAGAGACGAAGGCACTTAAGACCACAATGATAACAAATGGCAAAGAAGATTTAAAACTAAGACACTATCTGTTCTGGCCTAGAGATTCCTGGACTGTGCCATATTTTCTCTCTTTTACCACAGATACCACCTGTGATTAATGCTATACAATCTTTTTCATAGACAGTTCCTATGAAAAGCACTTGAGCCATAAATCCTCACATATTTTGATGTATCCTTCCATTTCCATCTTTGTAGACACTTGTCAGTATGCTTTGAATTACACAAATCTCATTAAGGTATATCTCTTGCCTTTATCAAGTTCATCTTACATTTCACTCTCTTTCCATTTGCTTTTCTCAGCATGCATTTTGGGCAAGTGTCTGTAACTATTTTTCTTTGTTCCCCAGAATCCATAACCAGACTTAGGTTACAAAAATAAACTATCTTGTAAAGAGATCATTATGGACATTAATTGAGTATATTGGGTGAGATATAATTTGGCTTTGATATTTGGTCCTGCTGCGCTCATAAAGGTACTTCATCATGGATGGGTTCCACTGACACCAGATATCTTCACCTGGCTTTTAGAAGAGAAAAACCAGAGCAATTCATGCATGCTTGCAGAAGAAATTGATGAAGGGTCATGATCACACATGGCTCTGATGGGAGCCACTGCCCCATTGCTCTGAATCCCTTTGTTCCGATAGGCAGCCCCTCACTCATGGTTCTTCTCTGATTAATTGGAACCTAAGGAAACTGAAGAAGATGCTTTTTTTTTTTTAAGATTTTATTTATTTATTTGACAGAGAGAGACACAGTGAGAGAGGGAACACAAGCAGGGGAAGTGGGAGAGGGAGAAACAGACTCCGTGCGGAGCAGGGAGCCTGACGCGGGGCTCGATCCCAGCACACTGGGATCATGACCTGAGCCGAAGGCAGATGCTTAACGACTGAGCCACCCAGGCACCCCTGAAGAAGATGCTTTTTAAATTCCAAGTACATGGTGGAGACTCCTTTAAAAATCTCTGAACATCTGACTTGGTCCATGGGAGGTGCTGTCAACCTTGCTGAATGCTGTTAGAGCAGTAATACTGGGAGTCTGCCTTTTGAAGACCAGGTCTCCTACTCCTCCCTGCATCTCCAGCCAGCAGATGACCTGTGGCTTCATTTCAGTGCTATCCAATAGAGAGAACATGACTGATGTTTCCTAAGACTCTTTATAAGCCCCTTAGAGCCACCTGCTTGAATGTGTTCCCCGAATTAAAAATGCATTTCACCTAGACTAAGATGTCCAAAGAAAGGATTCAGGAGAGCCTAATTAGGGACACACAGATTAACTACATGCTACAGTTCCTATGGTAACTGCCATTGAAATATACAAAAAATAAAATAAATAAATAAATCCATGTAATAAAGAAGATTTAAATAAGAAGATCCAGTGAAACAAAAGAAAGTCCACACAGACACTTTAACCCTAAGAAGGATGTTCATTGAGGGAAGACAGCACTGAAAAAATGTTAGGTATGCAGTCCATATGACATTTTCAATTTCACTTAGTCTCAGCATTTTCATCTATGAGTAGCCCAAGAAAATGTTAGTAGGCTTGATTTAGAATTCATAAAAGCATGACATGGTCTTGACAGAGTGGAGTTTCTTTTCTTGTTTTTGTTTGTCTTGTTTGTTTTTTTAATTCAGCAAAGCACAGGACAACTTCCCTGCAAAGAAAAATAGAAAGTGTTGGTGATCTTAGGAACATAGCTTGGTGATGTATTACAACAAAAGTGCATGTTAGGGCATCCTTGCCTTTTCCATTAATTCTTTTCTTTCTTTCTTTCTTTTTTTTTTTTCACGGAAGGGAAGAACTTTAATCAAAACTTGTATTTTGAAACTGACCAGAAGCCTAGAGAAGATGGAGATCACTTCCTACCTATGTCATATAATTAACCTGGATTATGAACTCTGTTGGAAGAAGAATTTTCACTTAAAAAATTAAGTTTGGGGACCAAATTTTTTTTCTAGCCTAAATTTCAGAATGTAGTAAGAGATGTGACAGTTTTTATACCTACAAAGACCAAAAGCTGTATTTAAAGAAACTGAAAACTGTATGAGTTCTGGAAAGTATTCTACAAGGAAAAAATGGCCTGGGAGTTCGGGCTGCATTTGCTGTCTGCTTCTGAGTCTCTGAAGGTGTGTCTGAGTAACTGTGGCTCAGGGTTCCCTGGAGGAAGATAAGGCAAGATTCTCACAGGAGGAGGCAGGTTTAGTAAGTGAATATTTTGTAGCATGTTTGTTATTGTTAGGTGGAATGAAGCCTTTGAAGTAGTTTTAATAGAGTTTGTAGTCAGACACTCATCTAAATAAAAAATATTGGTTTTTTGGCAATTAGACTGCTGAAGAAAAAACCACCTTTTTGCTGTAGTATAGAGTCAGGCTTGTCATTTTTCTACCAGAGTTCTGAATTTCCTGAGCATGTGAATCAAGACCACATTTTTGTTAAGTATGTCAGTATCCTTTTTTTTAGTTGTCAAGGACAATACATATGTATAATGTTTAATGGGTTCCCGTTAGACTGCAGATGAATTTAATCATGTGGACAGGGAGGGAGTGGGCACTGGGTCAAGGCCCTGGCACTGAGAATATACTTTGCTGATTGGTGGGTGGACTGAGTCGAGCTAATGGGCTCCCTGACTCTTCGTCTGCTCTCTCATGTTGTCCTACGCAAGTCCTGGATCTTCTCTAGTTCCTCGTATATTAATTTGGAAAGCAGCACCAACTACCTCACATAGTGTAGGTTAGCTTGTTTACATTGCTTCTCCTTTATGTAGTAGCTCGTTTCTAAATTCATTCCTGCTTACATGAAACATGACAGGACTTTCATTGCAATTAAAAATTTTTAAAAATTATATAGGTAGGAAATGTCCACATATTATATAAATCTTAGTTGAAAATGGAAGTTTTCCTCTTTCTCTCTAGTATGTTTTCGAATGGTAGCTTTGGAGGGGGCAAGGAGAGGGCCAAATAATCTTCACTTTTAATATCAAATTGCATATAAAAATAGCTTATTATTGATATAGTTATTTTATGTTAGATGTCTTCATGTTTGCCAAAGACAATCTTGAACATTTCGATTTCTTGCCAGATAGAACTAACCAGGATAGATTGAGTATAAGAGAAAATATTTGCTTCACTTGTTTTTTTTTTCTTAACTTGATGATTGCCGATGTCACTCATTATGGAGGCACCCAGAACTAAATCTCTGAGTAAATGGCACAGTAAAGCTATTGAAAGTCTAGAAGATATCCAGGTAGTTTGCAAAGTATGCATGGTATGTGTTTGTATGAAGGTTCCCATATCTCGGTATTTCTTTTCATTTCCTACTCACTTAATGGATTTTCTACAAGTTCAGTGTAGATACAAGCCACTGCTGGGACATTTTCTACTGGGCTCATTAATTTAAAAGGAATTGATGATTATCTTTAAAACATTATAAATGTTAATGATATTTGCCACTACTAAATGTTTAATTTTATTTCTAAAACTTCCAAAGATTTCTGTTTAACTTTTTTCTGTTTTAAATTTTTTTCCTAAACTTGTATGTGTTAAATGCAAAGATTTGTTTTTATCATACATTAACCCTAGAATGCAACCATTTGAATGTCTGCTTGCTGGCAGAGCTCTATCTAGATGGGCTTTGGAGCCTTGTACATATAGCCTTTATAACTGAGTGTACATACACATTACTGTTTTCATGGGTCTGGATGAAGGGGAATTTATTTGATAAATAAGACTCAGTTTCTACCATGGCAATGTTTTTTTTTTCTTTTCTTTTTTTTATTATTATGTTATGTTAATCACCATACATTACATCATTAGTTTTTGATGTAGTGCTCCATGACTCATTGTTTGTGTATAACACCCAGTGCTCCATTCAATATGTGCCCTCTTTAATACCCATCACCAGGCTAACCCATCCCCCCACTCCCCTCCCCTCTAGAACCCTTAGTTTGTTTCTCAGAGTCCATAGTCTCTTGTGGTTCATCTCCCCCTCTGATTTCCCCCCCTTCATTCTTCCCCTCCTGCTATCTTCTTCTTTTTTTTTTTTAAACATATAATGTATTATTTATTTCAGAGGTACTGATCTGTGATTCAACAGTCTTGCACAATTCACAGCACTCACCATGGCAATATTTTAAGAGTATTTGTTCACATTTATGTGCCCTAAAGTCCCATTTACTACTTAATAAAACAAGTGTAGGTTTTACTTGGTTTTATTCCCACTTCTTTGTTTTTTCTTCTCCAGTATCTAGTTACTATGGGTTGGCGGCTCCCCCTATCTCTCCCCTTTGTTACCACATAGTGAATTATAATGTAGTTGAACAACCTGACTTAATAGTACTTCTTTTTTTTTAAAGATTTTATTTATTTATTTGACAGAGACACAGCGAGAGAGGGAACACAAGTAGGGGGAGTGAGAGAGGGAGAGCAGGGAGCCCAATGTGGGGCTCGATGTGGGGCTCGATCCCAGGACCCTGGGATCATGACCTGAGCCGGAGGCAGATGCTTAATGACTGAGCCACCCAGGTGCCCCAATAGTACTTCTGACAAAAAGATGGAAACTTCACAATTACTTTTTGTAGGCTTTAAAAATATGTTGGCTCAAAGGATACCTGATTTAGATATGCTTGTTTTATAAGTTTGCCTTCCATTTCATGATTTTTAGGCAGCTGGTTTCATTGTATCATTTCCATGTTTTCAATAATGGATACTCTGACATCTATCAGTCTGTGAATCGCATTTTTATTTTGAAATGGGAAGAAAGGCAACATATTTATTCCGTAAGGAAATAGCTGATTTAGGAGAATAACTTATCTTTATTAAATGAGATGTTTTAACCAAGAAAAATATGGGTCAGTTTTTTTTCTTTCTAAAATGTCTCTAACAATTCCCTGTAGGAATGGGTGGGACCAGCCTTCCTCATTTACAATCCAGCTGTGATGAATAATGGAGCATAGCTCATTCTATTCCCCAGCATGTAATAAATGCAGAAAAACAGTGTGAAAGGCACAATCCTCAAATCAATTGCGTTTTGTTACACAAAAGATCCTGGCTGGAGGAGGTAAGGTGGGAGGGTACCAGAAAGTAATTGATGATGTAAAGAATCTGCCTGGGAATTTTTTTGACTAATGAATTTTATAAAATCTTACGCTACTATGAATTAATAAGATGCAGGTTAAACCACCCTCCTCAGGGTAGTTAAACACAGATTAAAATGCTCCACTATGAAATTTACAGCTATAACCTAGATTAAATGATCCCTCATTCTGGCTTTTCTTTTTCTCACTTACATTTAATTATTTCTTTAGTTATTAAGGGTATAAATAGGAAAAAAGTAAACGTGGTATTAGAGAATAAAGGCATAATTATTTGTGTGTCAGAATTATGATGATTCTGAAGCGATTGTGTATATGCCATAATATATATTCAGTATGGGGTATGGATAATGAAAGATTCTTCTTTTTCATCTTATTTATAATATTTTACCTAAAGTATAGATCAGGTAAGTTCATGTTACTGTACTGCTTTCTTGAAATGCTCTAGTCTTAATCTTCGCTAATTAGAAATAAAAATGTAAAAATCTTTATATAAAAGTCTTTCTTTTCTCATGTATATAATTGTGCTATTTTTATTATTAATAAACTTCTCTTTTTTTATTTTAGAGAGAGAGAGAGTGAGCAGGGGGAGGGCAAAGGGAGAGGGAGAGAGAGAGAATCTCAAGTAGACCCTGAGCTGAGCGTGGAGCCCTATGCGGGGTTCAATGCTGACCTGAGCCAAAACTGAGTCGGCACTTAACAAACAGCCACCTGGGCACCCCAATAAACTTCTCTTTTAAGAACCTCCCTACATTTTCTTTTGTCAGTTAGAAGAAAACATTGTAGATTGTAGGAACAGTTGTGTTGTAATTACCATTCAGAGATACGCACAATGTGAACATGGTGTGGAAATGAAAATCATTCTTCAATTAATCTTCATGTAGTGAGAATGTAGGGGAATGGAAGACAAATTTAGAGCCCAATTTTTGCCTTAAATTTTATTGATAGTTAATGATGCTCAGTCATTATTTGACCTCTCTTGAACTCTACTCTTTTAAACTCTTAGAAGTTTTCATTTATTCCTCATTTGCTTAAGGCAGGGATGGAAAGAAAACTGATGGAGTTAGTTAAAGAAAGATTGGTAGGGGATGGTAGCTAGCACCAGCTGTTCTGTAACTGGAGAAGGAATTGGTGATCTGTCTAAAAAGAACAGATAACACATAAATACGGTATTAGCAGTCTAAAGCAATCCTGCATGGGAAAGGCAGAAGGAAAATCAGCTACCACCTACCTAAGCATCAGCATCAGAAACCTCAATTTTCACTCTCTTTCCTTCCTACATTTGCATCTTGGCTTTCTGGCAGTAGGGCATGAGGAAATCCTAAATCAATCTTAGAAAGAGGAAGATGGTCTTAATTTGATTCCAAAGACTGTATTAAATGTGTCTAATAAAATTGCCTGTTAACTGATTAATTAGTGACCTCGTTTTAGTTACTAATTAGGAGAAACAGTGAGTAATAACCCTATTTTTAATAAGTCTGGTCAGGGTAAGTGCTAGTTACTGTTAGCTCTTGCCCTCACGATACTGGTCGGCTCTCTAGGTCCTTCAGTATATGTCCCATCTGAGCTAGTTCTTGATGGGCTGTGTTCCATGAACTAAACTAATTATCTTCTCACCAACACACACACATATTTTGTGTCCCCCCCTTTTAAAAAAAAGATTTATTTATTTTAGAGAGAGAGAGAGAGTGCACGTGTGTGAGTGCATGAGTGGGGGGGGGGGTGGGGGAGAAGGAGAATCTCAAGCAGACTCTTCACTGAGTGCAGATCCTGACACAGGGTTCAATCTCATGACCCTGAGATTCTGACCTGAGCTGAAAGCAAAAGTTGGATACTCAACTGACTGAGCCACCCAGGTGCCCCATGTCTCGCACCCCCACCCTCCCTCGCTTTTTTGGTGCAAATAAATCTCTGCTAAGGTGACAAAAGCTGTTAAGGAATCATGATTTTTTTTTTTTAAGACTTTATTTATTTGAGAGAGAGCATGCACGTGGGGAGGGGCAGAGGGAGAGGGATGAAGAATTTGAAGCAGGCTGCACACTGAGTGCAGAGCCCTATGTGGGGCTCAATCCCAGGACCCAGAGGTCATGACCTGAGCCAAAACCAAGAGTTGGACGCTTAACGGACTGAGCCACCCAGGCACCCCAAGGAGTCATGATTTTCTAAGTAACACCTAAATGGTATGTGGGCTTTCTGGATATAAACCATTTTTCCAAGTGAATAACTGTCATTGTCAATATTGCACACACCATGGTGGGTTTGGGGAGGAATATGCATATTTTCAGCGGGCTGACCTTTGAAAGAGTCTCAGAAAACTAACAAAAACTCCTTTCGTGCCCCTTTCTGTACCATGTACATGCTTTCATTCCATTATTCACCAACACTGTTTTATAATTCTTTTAAATTTGTGTCACTGACTTTCCACTAAACTGAGTTCTTTGATGTTAGAGTCATGTCTTCCTAATTTGTTATTCGTGAAACCAAAGAATGGTTTGTCTACTCTAGACAGAGTTTGTCTACAGTAATTATTAATTCAGTTGGCTTGAGATAATGGGCCATATGGAGATACCTATTTATGACCAGCAAGCAAAGGATTAATTTGCATTTTGAGAACAAATTAGGTGGACCTATGAGTGGTTTACAAACTGTTTGGAAAGAAATGATTTACAGAAATTTTAAAATAACCATACATGTGTCAAGAGATCAGCTTCATGCATTTATATCTATCTTATTCCATCGAATTATTCACAGATCATAAAGTAGAAAGCATTTTACAAAAACTTATCAATGTATGGACCTTTACAACCAGATGTAGTAACATATCTGGGTTTCTCAACCACAGACTCAAGCAGGAAGCCGGGATGAAGAGGAAGAGTGTGAGGAAATGTGCTAGGATAGTAGATATAAGCTTCCCATGTATGGCTGGTGAAGGAGCGAAGATTGGGGAGCTTGTAGAGACAGGTAGGTTTGTAGGAACAAAAATTTGACTTTACTTTCTGTTGATAGAGTTGGGAGCATAATGCATATAGAAGGCATTGTTTAATCTTAAAATACAGGTTTTTTAAAAAAATGGTTTTATTTCTTGTTTATTTCTTTATTGCATAGGGCGGAATAAAATAAAGGCACTAGAGAGCAAGATGTGACTCAGTTCTTTCTTCATTTTTTTTATTAGCATATAATGTATTATTTGTTTCAGGGGTACAAGTCTGTGATTCATTACACCATTCACAGCGCTCACCATAGCACATACCCTGCCCAATGTCCATCACCCAGCCACCCATCCCTCCCACCCCCCTCCACTCCAGCAACCCTCAGTTTGTTTCCTGAGATTAAGAGTCTCTTATGATTTGTCTCCCTCTCTGGTTTCATCTTGTTTCATTTTTCCTTCCCTTCCCCTATGATCCTCTGTCTTGTTTCTCAAATTCTTCATATCAGTGAGATCATATGATACTTGTCTTTCTCTGATTGACTTATTTCGCTTAGCATAATACCCTCTAGTTCTATCCACGTCGTTGCAGATGGCAAGATTTCATTTTTTTGATGGCTGCATAATATTCCATTGTATATATACACCACATCTTTATCCTTTCATCTGTTGATGGACATCTAGGCTCTTTCCATAATTTGGCTATTGTGGACATTGCTGCTTCTTCCCTTTCTTCAAACAAACCACCACCAACAAAACACTACCAGAGAGAGGGATAAGTAATTGGTTAAACCTGTCAGTTTTATTTATGTTCTTGTAGTGATATCTTTTGAAAGTTAGTGATGCTGTGCCTTCAAAATTGATCATGTTTATCCTGCACATAGCAGCAATCGATTTTGTTATTTCCTCGCAGGTTCCCAGTGTTTACCAAAGGGGAAGTTTTGTAACTAAATCCTAGCAGAGTGGCTCCACAGGAAAAGCCCTGAAGAGGAAAGGCTTCATGCCAGATTCCTCCGGGTCATATTTCCCATTTATAATAAAAGTTCTTAGAAGTATCTATTTGGCTCCATGCTCCTAAGAGGGTGGGTATTAGTTTTGCTCAGTCAGATAATTGGCAAATACTCAACAAGGTTGATATTCCTGCTTCTATGATATCATCAAAGGTTTGTGTGGTACCAAAGGAAATGTTAAATATTTTATTTCCTATAATGAATGAGGGAAACACACTTATGATTCAGATTTTAAATTGCTAGTGCTCTGAAGTCACAGAAAATAAAACATTCAAAATTTTTTATAGTTTGAGGAAAAATTAAATTGTAATTATTTGAAAAAACAGGTATGGGTTTAATTTCTAATTGATTTTTAGCAATTAGTAGTTATGATGCCCCTTTCCCTGCCTTTTAAAAGATTTTACCATGGGTACCATTTTTCCACTTAAAAACTTTTTATACAGAAAACTTTTGTGAAATTTCTTTTCCTCAAAGCATCTGTACTTTTAGCTAACTTAATACCTCATTTACTATAAATGAGAGAAGGCTGATAATCTAAATTAAAGAAAAAAATTGTGCTTATCGTTTCTTTTTTTTATACTATTTGGATTTGGAATGCCACAGATATAATAAGCATCTAGATCACATTCTACCATTTAGTGATAATTTCACTTGAGATGAATAATCAATCAGTAATTCATGTTGCAGTCTCTGCTGGGAAAATGGATTTAATGATCTGTTTCCAGAGCAGATAATACTCTTCAAAGTATCTACATAAGGAGAGTGTGAGGTTGGAATTGCACCTTTAAGATGCTCGTATTTCTTTTAAAAATGTAAATGCAAAGAGAACTTATTTCTAGAGAGATTTATTTTCCTTATGAAGTGCTCTCCATGACAGTAGTGTAATGATCTCTCTTCCTCATAAAAGAAAGCTGTAAAACACATGTTGAGGGTTGGAAATACCTTCTGTTCAATACTGTCAGCCAGGGAAAATTTTCCATTGCTTCACTTTTTCTTATTTTACTTTCAGATTTGCCAGTGATGTTTCAAAATCAGCATTTAACTTGGAATTGCAAAGCTGAAAGCTTAAATGAACTTTCCATTAATGAACAGGTTTAGACATTATTCTATTGTGAGGATCATCTTAAATTAATTTTGACTTAAAAATATAAAATTGATATTTTGGAGAGGTCTATAAAATCAGGTGTTCTTCTCAGTTTTATAAAACCAATATGGAGAGAATAGGAATCTGGTAATGTTAGTGAACATGTTATAAACACACTGGCTTTACCAGAACTTCGTCAGGGCCCAGGTGGGAGCCACATTGATTGATGGTATTTAATCATTTCTTCTTGTCCCTGGCCTGTGATACACTGTGCTGCCCTCATCTACACATTTACATCAGGACCTCACAGTGACCATGACTTGGGATGGCTCAGCAGTGTACCAAGGGATGCCCAGATCCCTGCTGTCTATTCCAGAACTTACTGGGGAAAGATGAGAGTTACATGGCAACCTCCAGAGATAAATATGTTGTCTTACAATTCAGTTACTTCAGAGTTTCCATCTAATTGTCTTAAAAACCTTTTGTCACTAATGCTGTTTAATTTAGAACAGATGATTGGGTTAAATTATTACCTAAAATGTTCACTGTTGAGGCCATCTTTTATTGCCGATTATGTGAATTGAAACATAATGTGTTTTTTTTTGCTTTTTTTTTAGGGGGATGGGTGAGAGGGAGAGGGAGAGAGAAAATTTTAAGCAGGTTCCACGCCTAGCGTGGAGCCCAGTGTGGGACTTGATCTTACAACCCTGAGATCATGACCTGAGCCAAAATCAACAGTTGGACTCTTAACCAACTGAGCCACCCAAGTGCCCCTGAAACATAATATTTTTAACCTCTCAACTTTTATATTGAATAAAGGGGCGATGAAATTGCCATTCCCAGGTTATAAAACTAACCTTGGAAGCAGAAAAGGAAGTAAAATACCTTGAGAACTTCCCCATTTGAAGTTTCTTTTTATTATCTAGAAGACTGGAAAAATGCAGTAATTCTAGCCAACACAGGTGGTCACGAAACTTGATTTTCCAGTATTATTCTGTTTGCCAAAATTTAGACCATGTACAGAGCTCACAAGCCACCCAGGTCTGAAAACCTAACTCTCATCTCAGCCACCAATGAGGAGAGAGATACTTTTGTGTGGATGGGCACATGTAATGTCTCCTCCTCGCCCTTCCTCTTAATGTGATTTCTTGTCCCTCTTCATGTTTTGAGTTGCTGATGGCTTCTAGTTCTGGCATTCTCTCCTTCCCTGGCCACAGTGATCTATGTGTATTCATGGTTACTATGTGAGCTCAGTGTCTGTACTCCACACTCATCACCTTCACAGAGAACTTGTGTCCGAGGCTAGACTACACAGTGCCAAGTGGATGGGAGGGCATGTTGGGCTGAGTGGCTGAAAACAGAGACTGAAAGTGCAGTCTGTTGTTAAAGTAGCTAGTAGAGGTGTGGCAGGTGAATAATAGGACATTTCCCCCAGCCCTGAAACTAGTCACTCTTGTTGAGTTGAACACTAAATAAAATCAGCTGGTCTACATGTAAATATTGTCACCAAATTTACATTCCTAAAGGAATACGTTTTTTATTTTTATTTATTTATTTTTTAAAGATTTTATTTATTTGTCAGAGAGAAAGAGACAGAGAGCACAAGCAGGGAAAGCAAGAGAGGGAGAAGCAGGCTTTCCGCTGAGCAGGGAGCCCAATGTGGGACTCGATCCCAGGACTGTGGGATCATGACCTGAGCTGAAGGCAGATGCTTAACCGACTGAGCCACCCAGGCATCCCAGAATAAGTTTTTTTTTTTTTTTTTAAATGAAGATATGTTGTTCTCTTTCATATGCCTCTCTTTGGTCTGCTACTAGTTTGGGTATCCTTTGTGATTCTGGAATTATTGAGAAAGATGGCAACTCTCATTTAGCCATGGTCAAATTTTATAGCTTTCTAACAGATAGGTAGGTTTTTTCCTACTCATATAATCTGGGTTTGGAGCATGCAAAATAACTTCCATATTTGGCTAATCAAAACATAAATGTAAATTTGGGTGAATTTGCTTTGTGAAAAGTCACCTGATTGAGGATTATCAAGTGTCTTATCTTATTCATTCTTGGGGGTGCTTTTCTAAGTCTCTAAACACCTTTTCTCCAGAGAGTTTTAGAATGATGCAGAGCGGAAAATAAACACTGGAATAATTTATAAACACTGGCTAAATAGGGAAAGCAGGCTATGATAAACACATACTTTAAAAATTTCTGGCCAATATTTGACCTAGGCATCCCCAAAGGAGTTCGAATCATAGTTGATTGCCGGATTCTGGTAACCAGGGGTTGGGGACTTGGGCAAAGAGAAGCTGGCAGGATCAGGGACATGGTTTTTAGTCAGCCATGCTGGTCAGAATCTGAGACACACATGGTGGTGATGGTGGTGGGGAGGGGGTGGCAGAGGGTCCAGAAAGGCTAATAACTGAAGCATAGATAATGGTTTCAAAATCGGTATGGGCCAAGATTAGCATCAAGACAGGCAAACCAAAGGCAGTTATTTCTAAAGTCAAGTCAACGAGAGCCAGAAGCAGCTGCAAAATGCAGAAGTTCAACACAGGAGCTCTGAGGTCCAAGTCAGGATCCAGGTTGGAAGAGTCCATAGCAGATGAAAGAAAAAGACATCAATGAACAAAGGAACACTAGAGCAAGGGTAGCTGCCATGTGAAGAAATTTCCTGTCCCTGCTTTTGGGTTTAAATGGCTCCTGAGAGACAAGAATTTCTCCCTTGGTGCTGCCTGGGCTCTGCCACAGAAGCAGGCATTGGAAGAGCCTGGCTGAGGCTGGGAGGTGGGGGCAAGGAGCAGGAGTGTGAAAATGACAATGAAAATCAAGGGCGCCTGATTTCCCAGGGGTAGCCCTGTGGTGCTGGCCGCTGAGTTACTTGGCTATTCTGAATTGTCAGTTCTGAAATTTACAGAAGGCCATATTGATTTAGTCTAAGCGTAATTCTTTTTGTAAATTAGTCTAAATGAAAATCCTACCAAATGCAGCCTTTAAAATGTAATGGAAAACATCCCATGTATGCACATAATTCTGCCTT